TAGTTAGGCTGAATATTTCGTATACTATGTCATCAGTTTTACAGTTTATGTAGTACATTTGTTGCCTCACATACATGACTGAGCTGTGTTTGGTAATGTGCATACATACATAAGTTCCCTCTTTTATATGGATACTGTGCATACCACTTGCCCAGATCATATCATTTGAAATATTTTAGATGGATGGTGATGTTACAGTCACCTAAGACATAGGTGTCAAATAATTAAGATTACAATGAAGTGACTGTAAAACTCTTACTTACCTGTATCTTCAGTCGCAGAAACTTTCAATTCAATACATTAAACAAAAAATTAGTATTTTAAACATGTTATTATGTACCATTATGCTATTATAAGAAGAAAAGTTTCATAAGTTAATAAATACTAGTTTACAAGCACAAAATGCCAATTTGGATTTGTTAGGCCTATAATTGTGGAATTTAAAGTATATTGAACTGTATTATATAGTAATGTAAATTTTTCTTCATTTTATATAACAACAGGTTTATTAAACATCTTATATTGCTGAAGAATGTCAGCTTATTTCAATAAATAGTGAGTTTTTTGGGTTTTTTTCAGACACCATGGGAAGGAGGGTTATATAAAGTTAGGATGATTTTCAAAGATGATTACCCTTCTACACCACCTAAATGTAAGTGAAAGGCAAAAAAAAATATTATTATTGCTTTTCCTTTAGGTAAGAAGTATGTTTTACAAAAGTAAGGATGACTTGATGAAATGTTAACTTGTTAAAACTGCCAACTTCAATAACAGATATTCTATACCTGTTAAACATTAAAGCTTTTGATTGTCAAGTATGTCGAGAATAAAGCAATTTGTTCGTGTTAGCATAAAGCAAAATTTGAAACCTTTGAAATAGTATGTTAAATATACATTGTTAAATCAATTTTATGTGCATGTAAAATGTAAAACAAGACTGTAAACCTGAAACAAAAAAAAGGTATGCACGAAGGACAGTTATGTTAAATTAGGGCACAAACTACAGTGTGGGAATGGTAATGTGTACCCTTGTAAAAAATAGTTGTTTTGATATTCACAACATATTATAAGGATTAGATTTAGTTATGTTCAGCCCAAAGTATAGGGATAAAAGCAAAAAAATAATAATATAGGGACTTAAGGATGTAACTGCAGCAAGAATGACTTATCAAACTTTTCTTTAATCCACAGCTATAAACCTCATTGGAACTTATGTCAAACACATAGTAAAAAGTGTTACTATACTACTGTGTATATTTTATGTGATAGATAACATTCTAAAACTACATTAAAGGCATAAATTGAAAGTGTACCATTGGTCACTGAGCAATGATGATAAGAGCACAATATTATTTTCAGTTATTTTCTCTTCCTGTTTACCTTCTAGGTGCTTTGATAACACTCCCTTTTTCTCTTGTTGTACATTCAGTGTCCTATAGCCTGGGTTCTGGAACCAAACCTAGTCTGGGCAGTTTATTTGTGCTTAGTACTTTTGCAACAAATGGACACATTGTAAAACTTAATGAATAATGTTTGAAGCAAGATGACAAAAATAACACATTCAGTTGTTAATAGATGCTTCTTTAATTCAGTTTGTGACTATTTGGTATTATGTTTCAAGTCTAAATTGGCCCTTGTAGGTGGATTATTTATCTATCATGTGTCTGCTCCTTCAGCTTATGCAGGCTTTATGGATAAAGTAGTAGAATGGTTCTGCTTACTCTGTTTTTGTAGATACTAGACTTATTTTTACACATCTTCCAACTTTTTTTGTAGATATTGGTGTGTAGAATATAGTGTACAGTAGTATAGTAATACTTTTTATTATATGTTTGACATTTTGATACTTTGAATGAGTTCCAATGAGATGTATAGCTGTGGGTGAAAGAAAAATTTGTTATGCCATTCTTACTACAATTACATCCATCAGTCTCTATATTATTATATTTTTGCTTTGATCCTTATGTTTTGGGCTAAATATAACTAAATCCAATCATTATTGTGAATAAAGCAGTATTACACCTTTAGTTTTTAAGTGTCATTTCAGACATTTAGATACCATACAGAGGAATATGCTCAGAACTGTTATTTGCAAATGGAAATGTACCAATTAGATTGTGTTACCATACCATAATCTGACCAAAGAGCCATGCAAAATTTTGGTAAGTCGTTAAACTTTTTTTTTCTTTGAAACAAATATTTATAATCCCAGTGAAGACTAACTCAATAATTTATGGATTTGTGTTTCTGCTCCTTCAACTTATGCAGGCTTTATGGATAAAGTAGTAGCATGGGTTTGCTTACTTTATGTTTTGATAGATACTAGACTTTTTTTTACACATTTTCCAACTTTCTTGTAGACATTGGTTATAAGATATCACATTCCAGATTTTAGTTTATATAAAATTACATCAATTCTTACAGACTAATTATTGTGAATGGACCAGCCCTAGCGAATCTGTGCAAGCTAGGATAGTAGTAAGTATTTGCACATTGTCTAACAGCTGGTAAGGTTCACATAACATGATCCAAGTTATTCACAAACATAATCAGTACTATAGGAAGACACCATTACACAGAAGGGATATTTAACATGGCAGGACAAATAGGAGAACATGAAGGAGAAGATTTATAGGACTGGTGTTAATACATTCCAGTTAAATAAGTGAACACTGCATGCTGATTTACAAAGAGTTTACCATTGATAACAGTGGAATTAGCCAGTCCACTAAACACAGAGAAACTGCCCAGACTATGTATAGTTCCTGAAACCAAGTCATAGGACACTGAATGTACAACAAGAGAAAAAGGATGTGTTATCAAATCATCAAGAAAGTAAACAGGAAGAGATAAATTATATTGTGCTCTTATCACTGTTGCTCAGTGACCAGGTCACAGAGTCAGAAATATTGTGGTGTTATGAAATTGTTGCAAGTGATTTTTCCTTTTGACCTTGTGATGGACAAAACAAGCTGTTTGGAAGAATGTTTAAATGCCTCATAGCAGAAAACCACTCTTGATAGAAGTGGGCTGTACAATATCTGATGGAATTCACCACTTCCTGCTTGAGCAGATTGTAGAAGTAATTGATAGAAGCTTGGATTATCTCAATATAAGATGAGATTACAACTGACCAGGTTAACAGGCAAATTAAGTTCTTATTCACTACTGAAATCCAAATGCTAAAGAAGTGAGAGTTCGATTTGTGAAAGCTATAGTTTTTGGACATGCTAAAGTAGAAACTGTAGCAAACTATCTCTTAGGCTTGGAAGGTGCTGCAGGCTGTGGACTTCCATTATTGTATCTCACCATCTTGTCATCGGGTGGCTCTGTTGTGAATAAGGTCACCCAGGAAAGTGTTTAGTGCACTCACAGTCAGAGGATTTGCTGGGCTTTTGCAATTTCAACCACATAACTTTCATGTGACCTATAATGTACTAGAAGCTTGTAATGCTAAAAAGAAGCAATTGAAGAGAAATAAACAATACATTAGCATTTGTTCAAAGCTGAATGATGTGAAAATTTTGATACAGATAAGTATTTTTCTCTCCTCTGCTACATTTTTAAAGAAGTGTCCACACTGCTTCTGAGGGCCCAGTCTTCTACCTGCTATTAGATGAAATCTCAAATTTGCTTTATTGTTTTGGGAAGGTTTATGAAAACAGGTGAAAGTGATGATAAGACAGGGTGTTGTTTACTTGAAATTGACATCAAAGCATCTTCTCAAACATACTAATGGAAATTGGCACCACTACAAGTAAGCTGAAGGCAAAAGAACAAAATCCTTTGATGTTGAAACACACAAGGAGTTTCTACTGAGCGATAATTGTCTTCTGGTATGGCACCTAACACTTAAAAGCGAGCTACTTCAGGATCTTTAATATCTGCTCCCATTAACGAGAGAAAGGATAAGTTGTATTGCACTCAAATTACCTCATGTGTTAGCAGAAAGTCAGATGGCAGCTTGCAACAAGAGACATATGGCTTGCACACAAAATAGCTCTTGACATACTAACTGAATAGTATGTGGAATCTGATGTAAAACTCACAAGCATATTTATTACTACTAGCGAGAGGTTATTGGATCAAAATTTCCAAAACAGACAACCAGAATATAGAGTCCTGCCCAAGTTGATTAAAACTGCACAATTCAGCAATTAGCACAGTTATTCTGATGGAACTGATCTGTACATTGAGACTTACAAAAAGATGAGGTGACAACAATGAATGGCCAGATCCATCTCATAGCTTTTTCCAAGGATGAATTCAAGGCAGCCAGACATGAATAATGGATCAAACAAGAAAAGAAAAATGAAACACTAACAAGCAGAAGGAAATGCCAGATTAGAAGAGAAAAACAGACTTGAGACAGAAACACAAAATCTCAAAACTTAAGAGAGGAAAATCAGTTAAGAAGAAGAATAATTCAAAGTTGCAAAAAGCACTGATGACAAAGGATGAATTAAAAATACAGATAACACAGTGAATGTTAGAAAGTGCAGAAGAAAAGATGGAGAAAGGAAGAAAGAAACTGCCAACAAAAAAAGACAAAGGCTGAAAAGAAAGAAACAGCTTTATTTTTTATGATAAATAATCCACCCAAGAGGCCCAATTTAGAATTGAAAAATAATATTAAATAGTCACAAACTGAATTGATGTATTAAGGAAACATCTATTAATAACTGAATATGTTATTTTTGTCATCTTTCAAAAATTATTCATTAAGTTTTACAATTTGTCTCTTTGTTTTAAATGCATGTTAATTACAATTAAAGTTAGGATTGGTATTACAGTTGTTTTTTTAAGACTCGTAATGCAGATAAATTAATATGTAGAATTATACATGGACTGTTCTCTATGTTAAAAGTAACGTATAACCTGTCAAAAATAATGGGGCAAGTACTACCATCCCTACCCCACCCATGGTATACCTTAACCTCATATTTCATAGCTAACTGAAATAAATTAATTTTGTGAAATCAAGCTTGACCAACAAAGAGACAGAAAAGTGCAGTCAAGGCAGTTAAATGTCGGTAAATTCCTTCGTGAGCCAATCAAAATTAAGATCATTCATGAAATTAATTTGTGGCATATTCATATAATAATTATTGGTAAAAATCAATTAGATTAACAACTTCTAATATGTAGAAAAGCCAGGGCATTTTGGTAACACTATGTTCCAACAGTGGCTTTTATGTCATGTTGCTTAGAAACAAAAGTATAACCTAATATTGTTTGTCTTTTGGGTGGGTGTGCTAATACTTGCCCAGTCATTTTTGACAAGCTATAAGCTAGTGAAATGTATAGACCACAAACTGGAAAAAATATTTGTTAATTTCTTAATTTAGAGTCTCTGTTGATTAAAGAAGTTTGTTTTTATTAAAAACTTTGGTTATATAACAGAAAATAGCTTAATTCAAAAACAATTTAAGTTGAAAATTAAATCGATATATTTACTTTCATTATAAATTTTATGCACTTGGCTCTAGGCTAGGTAATCCCGTACTACATCTATTTTAGGCTTATTATACCAACACGCACTACACTTATGTGGTTTCATGGCCCTCTTGCACCCTTGTCACTAAAATCATAATGGGCACACAGTAATTGAAGTATTATATCTGGAAGATGTATTTTAGCTTTTATGACCCCTATTTTGAGAAATCAAGCATTGATGCACACTGGATTTTATATAGGTTAGATTATTTTCTTTGTGAGCTTTTGGCCTTCTTACCGGCATCTTCGTCAGGCAACAGTGTACTAAAAGTACATTGTTACCCAATGAAGACTAGTAAGAAAGCCAAATGCTTGCAAATAAAAGTCTTTTAATGTAGAGAACAGTCCATGTATAATGCTATACATTAGTATTACAATATTAGATAAAACATAGGGTTACAGCTGTATAGCATTCACAATCTGTAATTAGTAAGAAGACATTGCATATTGATTACAGTTGAAGTTAGGATTTGTATTGCAATATTAAGTGAAACATGGGGTAACAATTATATAGCATACATAATCTGTAATCAGTAGGAAGGTATGTGGTTTTTAACAGTAATGTTAATATGTTCTGTAGGTGATACTATGTTATATATTGTCAAAGAATTTATTGAGAATAAATATTTCAGGAGATTTGGTCAGTTTTGGGAACACAGTCCATAAAATGGCAAGTGATGAGCATATTTCTGTAAGGTTTTCTTCAATGGGTATGATTCATAGTACTCACTCTCATAAGGTAAGGTGTCAGAAATATATTTTAGAAGTGCCAATTTTCCCATTATTCCCCTATATTTGGTGAATATTTCCCTTATAAACCCCTATATTTAGCATTCAGAATTCCTGTATCCTTCCATATATCTTGATCAAAAGTTACTGAACACAGTAGTGTTTGTTTTAGTGCATTTTCTACCTAGGTGTAGGCATTAACCCATCCAGGATGAGGCTAGTATTACAAATAATCTATCATTATGTTTCTTATGATAAACCTCTCCTGCAGGCTAAGTATCATAAGTGCTCAACTTGTAGATCTTAGTTTAGTAATTTTGCACAAGTTTGATAAGTTTCTCGGTAAGATCATGTCAGTTTAATACAAGCAGAAAGCTCAGAGATATTTTTTATCTATGGAGCAAATCTGAAGCATGTTAATGTTTATAGAAATTAATTCAACTATCACCAGTCCTTTTCTGGCTGAAATGTTTATACAGTGTATAGTATATCCAGCAATATAATGGAAAATTGCAATGATTTGGGTTGATCTTCTCACATTTGAATATTATTTCACAAATATGATATAAGAGGGAGAGATTAGCTGCTTAACAAACTCAGAAGTTTAGATAACAAGATCATACACGATAATCAACGTACATTTGTCCTCGTTACATGGATACTCCACAGTCATTCAGAAAATTGATAGCTTTAATGATGATAATATAGTGCACAACTATACTAAGCTTGTATGCATCATGTGTGCATGTGTAACTTTCAAGGTATTCAGAGGTTGAGTATGTTATATTAAAATTATTTTGGAGCCTCACCAAGTCTGGTCATACTCTTATTTAATGACAATAGCCCTGCAACATTGTTTCCATTCCAAAAGTCTCCTTTGTAAGGCTATCATATCTAAAGCACACCATTCTCTACATGCTTTCCATAATTTGTCTAGGGTACAAGGACACTGGTTTCCTATTGCCCATTTTGATAGTCAAATTACACAAAAATCCATATGTGGTACATCTGGTGACTTGACTGGTATGCTGTATAGAATAAATAGCCATTTCATTCTTCAGATTCGTAATGTATGCAATAATTGAACAGATATGTTGTGGAAGTAACGTATGATACTTTTCCAAATGAAGATTATTTTTTATTACATTGTGTGCTGTTGCTTTTTACAAGACACTGCAATTTGCTTACTACAGCTGGAGTATGCCTTGTTGCATGTCTTTTTCTGGATTATCATAACCCCAGATTGATTCATATTCTTTGTTTTCCAATGTCATTAAGTACAAGGGATATCCCCATTCTGTACACATTTTTATGATCTTAGTGTATGAATACTTTGTGTTGGAAAGGGTTGTTAAGTACTCTTCCTAAAAGCAGTACATTTTCAGTGGCATCACATTACTTACAAAACAACAATGTTGAAATGTAGTTCTGGTACAATCTGTTCCATGACATGACTGCTGATTTGAGTATTCAGAATGTTTTAATGTAACATTCCCAACCTGGTGTATTCCATTCTGAGACACCACATCTCACTTCAAAGAAATATGCAGAAAACAGCAAATCAAAGAAAATCTCATCTGGAAAAGTTTAAATATTATAATTTTCTGTTCACAGATTTTAATATTTATATATATATGAATATTTGGCTTGGAATAATATTTTGAATTTCTGTAATATGAACATGAAATTTTTACATTTCTATTATTTAAAATATATCCAATTAGTATAAGTATCAAATGCACCATTTGTTATTTTAGGTAAGTTTGAACCTCCACTCTTCCATCCCAATGTTTATCCCTCTGGCACAGTCTGTTTATCATTGCTTGATGAAGAGAAGGACTGGAGACCAGCTATTACAATAAAACAAGTATGTTTATATTATAATAAACACAAAATGCAGATAATTGTATAGAGGAAGAGAGCATAAAGTGCTTTAATTCTCCTAGTGTAAAGTGTGCATTGAAACAGTACTGATATAGATATTAATTGATATACACAAAAGTTTTGTGTTATCGGAATCTTTTACAATTATAATCTTTGAGGTTTGTATTGGGATATGAGAATTTACATACAACTGTGCCATTCTTGAACTTTATGTAAGTCTTGTTTGTTATTAACAGGTAACACAAATGAGTTGTCTTTGTTGATTTCTGTTTAATTTGAGGAGACAAAGCAAATGCTACTTTTAATTATTATTAATAGCAGTATGTTTGAGGAAAGACATATTGCTTTTACTTTGTGCTTTAGTGCACTATTTCTTACAACTGCAGAATACAATTTATTAGTACATAGTATAATGATAAAATACTGAGAAAATTATACATTTCCTTGAAAGGTAACAGATGAATGTTTTATTGCATAGTTAAAGTAAAAAAAAAATGGTTCCAATAAACTAAATATATCAGATGTCTAGTACTAATTAATTAAAGAAGTTATGTAGTTTTGCTAAAGTAGTGTTATTACTAAAGAAATACTCAACAATATATATTCTAAGTGATAAGTTTAAATGTTTTACACATATTGTTTTTTAGTTGGTTAAGTCATTTAAGGCAGTTTTCACCTGAAATATAAATTATTTAGCTTTCAGGATTCTTTGATCTCTGGCTATGTTTCTTATCCGTGTGTGTATGTTAGGAGTAGTGTTTAATTTTAAAGTATTGGCTGATATAATCAGAAAGCTTTGATGCTTCATGGCTAGCTTAGCAACCAAGTTTCCTTGGTTTCTGATCTTGTCATTTAAAATGTGTATTGTTATTCAAGATGATGAATTTGTTTTGTCACACTATGCCACCTGTACTTTGAGGTAATGCTCTGCATGTAGGTAGCACCATAAGATATTTTGAAACTTCCTGACTAAAGTTTTGCAAACATGAAGTATATATTTAAGGACTGTTTAGGTGATTTATCTATGAACATTTCAAAACTAGGTACTTGAAACACAACCTGTTATTGCTAAATGTATCATTATGAAGTTTTGGGGCAAATTTACATTGCAACTGACACACAATCTTTGAGCAGTAGTAGTGAAAGTTGCATTCAGCCAACCTGGTAGAAAAATTCACAGTAGTATGTGAACAGTAAATACAAGAAGAGATCCAACCAGAATATACTTTCATTGTATATATAATCACTTCCTCCAGATTACATTGAATGACAGTTTGTACTTAGGTCTACCACCTGTAACTAAGCACATCCTTCAGTACAACATTTTCTGGAATACAAGTTACACTTTTCTGCTGAGTAACATCCACAACAAGAGTCAATGCAGTTTTTATTCAGGCACAACCATTAGTCAGCACAAGTTTTGAATTATGAAAGTAAGCTTGAAGGTTAACTTGGGTCTGTAGTGACTACTGTTTGTGAATATCAAGCTGTAAATACTGAAAATAATGTAAAAGCATAATAAATCTAGTTAAAACAGTTAAAGAGAAAACTAATAACTACATTTTATGTGAAGATATTGAAAGTATTTCCTTAAGAATGTTTCACGGAATATCAGTTCTGAATAGTGGAACAGTCGTGACAATCTATGTATTACCACATGTGTCTGCTTTTTAATGGATATGGATAAAACTTATCTAATAAACAACGAGTAATTAATGTGAAATTTGAAATAATTACAAAAAAAAAATACTGACAAGAGTATAACTATATTTCTGAGAATAACTATTGTACAAACTAAAATAGTTTATTAAACAGTTAGTCACAAACTGAACTCATGGTTGCATCAGTAATATTTTTTTTTTACAATACAAGTTCAATATTATTTTCATGCTGTAATGACACTTTCCCTTTACTTTGGTTAAATAAAATGCCTTTCTCCCTGAATTTAAAACTCTTCCAACTTGTGGGTCAAGAAAGAGAATTTCTCTTCAAATTACATAATTGAATTTCAACCATTGCAAGAACTTTTTCAGCTCTCGGTATATTAGAAATAAGTTATGCTATTTTGTATCTATGAGAGTAAAATATGTATATTTTTTAACTAATAAACATTTTCATTCCTTCTCTTGAATTTGAAAAGAGTGGGATGGAATTAACGTTTATTGGCAGAAGAATAGAACAACAATGAAAAAAAATCCTGTAAATATACATTTAGTTTGGAAAAGTGGTTACTCAAAACTATTGTATGTAGTGGAGATAATTTTTTTCTTTTATATCCGTATTGACTTTCATCATCTTGTTTCAAATACTAAACTATTTTGGGACATTACATTGTTCTTTCATACTTATAAACTAGCTTTACCTACAATAAAACTCAAGAATGTGAGAGTAATCCATTTGTTCATATTAAAATATCTTCAGTCTGGCTTTTTATACGCTTATGATTTATTGGTTTTATAACATTCAAAATATTGGGATTAGTGATTATCACTGAGCAATAAAGTATCAGAAAATGCAAAATTAAACTTGCATGTAACTAGCTTGTTCCTTTCTTTAAGTTTTGTATAAGCTAGGATTTAACATATTTAGTTTTTCTATTTCCTAGTAAATGAATATTTATGTATAATCTTTGTTTAGATTTTATTAGGAATTCAGGATCTGCTGAATGAACCAAACATAAAAGATCCAGCTCAAGCAGAAGCTTACACTATTTATTGGTATGTATGTGTTTTCACAGTCTATAATAGGTCTAACATAATTAGCTGGAGTCCCTTTGTGTGCCTGCCTCTTATTTCCAGTTATTTAAATTCACTGACTGAGAATTTCTGTAACTTTAAAGGTCAGAAACTTTTACTTTAGAAAACAACCATAAAAAATATATTTAAATATAACTTGATTGTTTAGAGTATACATCTTTCAACCCCAAATAAACATAAGAAACTTCAATTTTCATCAGAGATAAAAGCCAGTTCAGCCTTAATGAGCTCCTAGGTTCGTCAAACATCTGCATGTAAAGCATTTGATCACAATAGATATAGAACATTTTTAATTGAAAATAACTAGAAATTATTCGAAAACCCAAGATTCTCGTGACTAGATATTTCAACAATTTTTGTAAAAATTCGATATTTAGGTAAAAATGCTGAAATCACAAACAAAAGATACGTTGAAATTGTATTCTTTTTTGGCTTGTATAATTTACATTATCTGAATGCTTACTTAGATTTTAATATAAACTCTTTTAGATTTCTGCCACTAAATGTATATGTATGCACTTAAATGCATTGAACATATTCACACACACACACACACACACAACAAAAAAATCTTAATATTGATTTTGAAACCTTCAGACACTTTGTATTTGTAGCTGTGACTTTGCATTACCTCTGATCAGTAAATAATTCCCAGCAATCAAGCAATGTAAATTTTATTAATACTCCTTGATCCATTTTCTAAAATTGAAATCTATTTATAAGAATTGGAAAAAGAGTTTTTATGACATAAGAATATCATTTCTAATCAAAGGAAATAAATAACATACTGTATCTTCATCAGTTTCTGTTGATAAAAAATATTTCAAATTTGTTGTATGTTCTTGCAACAAAATAATTGCCTGCCTCTATTTATCAAGAAAGATGTACACATCATGGTTTTGTTTTTACCCATGTATTTCCATGTTTAACACTTTAGTACATGTAGTTTTATTTAAAACATCCATATCAGAAAGTAAAAAACATTACTTTACAGTTTCATTCAAACACCTGTGTAGAATCATATCAACTCGCTTTTATGGATTAGACCAATTTTGAAGAATAGCACCCCTAATTAACTACCAACCAGACCAAAACCAATGACTTTGATCCAGCTTTCTATGAAGTTATGAATATAACTTGTGTAAATGCTTCCTTCTCACATTATTTACTATTCTGCATACATTCATAGGATATTACTATTACTGTCCACCAAACCTGTGTAGCCGTATTTTTTAGCATTACTGAACGTCAGTATATGAATAAATTTGTTATAAGTTACACAGTTATAATATAGGATTGCCAATCTTTTTTTAATTAATGTTAATAATAGGCCTAATGTTTTTGTTTCTATACATTGCAGCCAGAACAAGCTTGAGTATGAAAAGCGAGTTCGAGCACAAGCCAAAGTAATGACCCCTCAAGAATAGTAAACAAGTGTCAAGCCAGTGTACCTGTCTGATGAAAATATCATTTGTTACCTTTTCAAATGAATATTTATTCTTTGTGTTTATTGTAGGTTCTTGCAACAAAACAGTTGCCTGCCACTATTTCTCGAGGATAATGTACACCTCTTCATTCTGTTTGTACCCTTGTATTTTCCTGTTTAGCACTTTAATACATGTAGTTTTAGTTAAAACATCCATATGGGATGTTATAAACATTAGTTTACAGTTATACAAACACCTCTGTAGAACCCTATAAACACTGACATAACTTCACAACTCCAGTGTAGGAACTGACAAATTTCATTGTAGTAGTTTTTAAATGCTATATTATACCTTAAAAATAATATATTTTTATTGAAACAAGTTAGTTACAACAATTTAATTAGGTAAGTTTATTACAGGATAATACAATCAATTAAATTCTTTGCAGTTATCTCTGTAAATAATATAAATAGTATTTGTTGTTTTTACTTAAAAAATGAGTTAAAGCAGTTACATTAAGATGGTTGTAAAAATAATCTGTTATAGTCTGGTTTTTGAAAGTGGTAGTGACAACTTAGATTGAAACTATTTCATTAATAAATTAGTTATACATGACATTACAGAAACTGCATTTTTTTTATGTGCTTCTCATAGTTTAGCAACAGAAGCATTTCATTGATTAAAAAAAAAATAGTTACATTTTTAATACTTATTGTTTTCAATACACTGCTACACCAGAATATAAGTTATTTTTTTGTTTGCTGTAGGTTCTCAGATGGGATAAGCTTTGTTTAATGCTAGACATCTTTTCTGAAAAAATAAAGTAGTTTGTTACTGTGGTAAATATTAACATATACTTTGTCAACCTGTTAATTTGATTTATTTTAATACAAACTATTTCTTAAAAAAAAACTTTCATTTATGTATTTTTTAAATTTCTTTAATCTTATAAATATTTGGTGCAAATTTTTTACAATAGAAGACAAATTGACGCTGTTTTTGAATAATTTTGTCACAAAACTTCAGAAAGTTTGTAATTTTTTAATAATACTATGTGTACTGTTAAGAAACTTTAAGCTTTCTAATAATTGAGTCAGATTGATTTAAAATGTTAGTTTCCAGATATTTCAAAAAATGTACATGCTCAGACTGTTTTAACATTTTATAATAATAGTGTCTTAAAGTGTTATTTTTGTAAATTCCACAAAGTTGATTTACACTGTCTCATGATAAAGAACCTGAAATTGATCTTGGCTGTAAAAAGTTTGAACTACTAGATTTAGTCAAAAATCACTCAATATTAAGAATCTAACTTATTCCTAAGAGATGCGAAAATAACTTTCTTGTGAAATAAAATAACTAGAATTAATTACTTGTGTATCCTTTATTGCACTTTACCTTAACTCCTTTGCATCAATAGTTTTATGCTATAAGACACTACAGTAATACCACATTGCTCAACTTTGAGTTGGTAACTCAAATGTTCAGGACTACATATTTCTGATCACAAGTCTAATTTTAAAGCTAAGAAGTTAGGGTTAATATTACGGTAGTTTATGTTATTATTTGCTGCTACCTTTACTCATATTATTTATCATTCTAATAACACATTACGCTTTAAATACTTTACTTATTTTTATGAGGTATTGTAACATGTTACATATCTTGTATTTGTTCAGGGTTGAAGTAGTGAAAATACTTTCCTCTTTTTAACTATTGCTGGTTATCTTTTTAACTGTTACTGGTTATCTTTTATTATCCAAGTTGGAAATGGAAGAGAACACTTTCTGAGAGCCTTCTCTGTAGTAAATTACCAAAAGAATTTGTACAATATTCCATTACAAAATAGCGTGCTTATAGTATTTGAACACAGATGTATCACTTCATTATGTCCCAAGTCAGGAAAGAAAAAATACCTTTGGAGTAGTAGTATGCAATAGATTTAAGGTAAAGTATATTTTTCTTCGTGTATTTTTTTTCATTCATATTCTTTATATATAAGCAATTATTTCTGTAATTTTTGTAAATAAAGGACTTGTAATGTCCTGATTATTCCGTGATGTTTTTTTATTCTATGTAAAGTCAACATCTGCAGCAACTACCTTCTTCTAGTTAACATTTAAACATAATTACTGAAAAAATAATAATAATAATAATATGAACCGATAAAACATGTTTGGAATATAAAAGTAAGGTTTGACTCAAGTTTTTTCAATAACTATGTAATGTTACATACACATACAATTCAGCATAACACATTAATCAGTCGGTGCAACTTTGTGGCATAATAATTTCTCATTCCATGCTTCGTGCATCAGACACGTGCTTGGGCTGCACTAAACTGCTTGTATCTATCGACAGCTAGCTGGCATAATTTAGTTTTATTTTGGAGAAATATTAGAAACATTAACAACGAACTTTTCAAGTGTGTGGAAGTACTTTTATAAGGAAAGAGAGAAGAACGTGATATATCAGTTGTGTCAAGCTCAATTATCTCACAGCTTGAGTAGTACAGGTGCAATGAATAATCATTTAAATTAAAACATCCAGAACAAACAAATATTGAAGATAACCCACAAAACAACTGAACGTTTACTAAACATCCATGCTAGTGTGACTGAAGTAGGAGTGATAAGATAAAACTGATAACTAACGTGAGAGTTGTGGATGTTTAACTTCCAAACATATTAGCAAACAAGGAGTAATATGTGAATACTACGCATCTTATTCTCCCATGGGCCGGAAAACAACCCGATGGATAACATAGTAAATGTGGATCTGAGGTTCCTTGGTTTGTACCATGTTACTGATAAAAAATAACCCAATGGTTAACATAGTGAAATGTGGATCTGAGGTTCCTTGGTTTGTACCATGTTACTGACAAAAAAACAACCCGATGGTTAACATAGTGAAATGTGGATCTGAGGTTCCTTGGTTTGTACCATGTTACTGACAAAAAACAACCCGAGGGTTAACATAGTGAAATGTGGATCTGAGGTTCCTTGGTTTGTACCATGTTGCTGACAAAAAACAACCCGATGGTTAACATAGTGAAATGTGGATCTGAGGTTCCTTGGTTTGTACCATGTTACTGACAAAGAAATATTAAACTCTGCACTTAGGATGCATTATAACAATGGTCAAATCCTACTTTACATTTATAGCAGTCCAAGAGTTAGTATTAGTTGGTGTTGACAAGCTGCCTTTCCCCTAGTCTATCACTTCGAAATTAAAGATGGATAGCCCACAAGTAGTTTTGCACGAAATTTAGCAAAGCAAACGTACTCTGTAGTTTTTAGATTTTTGTAAATTCTAATTTTGGAACATATTAAGTCTTGTTAAGATCTCTTGCAAAATTTATCGTGAGGTGTGCCTATTTGTAGCTTGACCAATCAAGGAAAACTTTTTTCCTGTGATAGTGTCCTTCACCTTGCAACTGTCACATGGAGTAAAAGTACTTCTGCATTTTGATGTCCTTTTTTTCTTGGTATATCGATTGGAGAGAGACTATGTATTATGAATGCAATCTAGAGAGAATTGTTGAAATTTATCCCCAACAAGTCGCAGACACCTACTGTAAAGAATCTGGCCCCTTTACAAAACCTGGCACGGTCCACCTCTGACTTGAGAGAGCCAGAAATCTATGAAGTTTAGTATTTTGTGTCCACTATTTTAACTTCACGCTCATTTAGTTTTATTTCACTTTAATATCATTTTCTCAACATGGAAAACGTGTAATACAATTATAGGTAGAGCATGAAATAAGCAGTACTCTTGTGTTTGTCAAACATGTTTGTTTCTCCTCACATTAACGTTCCATCCAACCAAATCTTCAAACCTCTTTATAAGTAGAGGTAGGTTATTTATGTGTCGTTATTATTCTCAAGGAAAAATACCACAACAAAATAATAGCTTTGCCTGGTGAACATAAGCATTTGGCTCAAAACGACTAAGAACCACTTTAAGTAGTAAAAATGCTTCACTGGCAAGAGGTTCGTGTATGTCTGTGAACATGGAGTTTTTACTGCTGAAACATCTTATTTTCTTCACGACTGGGAAATGAAAAATGTTGTGCTGGTCACAAAATATAAAGAGGAAAGACTGGTGAAAATTAAAAACAATGTGATAAACATCAATGAAGATTTTAACCTTTAGAATAATATGTTTGAATGTGTGCTTGATAATGCTACTAATATGTTTGCAATGCGAATTAACAAAATATAATGTAAAATGCATGCTACATAATTTAGCTATACGTGTTGAATTTACTAAGCTGCAGGAAGCTAACTAATGGAGCATTTGAATCATAATTTTACAAAGTAAAACAATGGAAAAATATTTGAGTAGTTAGTTGAACATCTCTGGGAAATCGCACCAGTATTGGTACGAAATTATCAGATGCAAAACGCCTGATGAATAATGGCTGCGTGTAGAGGAGCATGTGAATGTAAGTTTAAGCTTTCAACTGGCATCATTTGGACTGTCAACAGAAAAAAAAATGCATTCCATCATTTGCCCCTATTCTAATTTCCTTTGTGCCTAAACAATGGAAAATTACAAAAGAACTTAAAGGGTGGCATGATACATCATATTCTCGATGTGTCGATGATTGCATCTTTCCTGGATCCACGGCATACGTATCAGATAACCTCTTCATATGCGTGATATGAGCAGCAGTACTAAATGCCCATTAGCCTATAATGAATTATTCTGAAGAAGCTGCACTCCAATATAATAATTACAAACAATACGTTTAACCGAGATTATTAACGGACTTTATATTTTGCCTAATTATTAAAAAAAAGAAGATAAAGAGACAACCAGGACTAAATTAATTTTGTGGGGGCCCCCTTTTTAGATATTCATTCTCTTCCTTTTCTGGCTTATCACTTCCTTACCCAATTTTAAACATTGGTCCGATTTCAAATTGGTGTATGTTTTTTATAGCAAAACCCCAATGGGCTATCTGCTTTGTCCACCGAGGGGAATCAAACCTATGATTTTAGGTTTGTGAATCCGTAGACTTACCGCTGTCCCACTGGGGGACATTTCAAATTGGATCTTTTTTTAATATTACATTAAAGCATGTTCTTTTGACATGCACATAGAAATTAAATTATTATTTCTATAAGGCAATTTACAGTTTCCGAGTGTCAAAATGTAATACTCCACGTATAAAACATTACAGTACAATCTGTGTAACCCTCCACAAAAAGTGCAAGTACAACGACAACAATATCCCAAGAAGCTTCAACCAAATAAAATTATTGTAGATTTTACAATTTAGATATATACACTTACATGCGACAATTCAAATAAACAGGTTAAAACACCAGAGACACAGTCACAATAAACGCGCTGTCCATCCCACAAGAACTGATAATGAATCGTTTGTATGTAGAAAGTAAAATGGTACAATATTGACTGAAATAACGTTTCAGCTCTTCCCCAACTTCTGTTTTCTATGTACTCCCTAACTGTTGTTTTGGTGGGTCATTTTTTGTAACGTAGTTTTGTATTGCTTAATTCTTTGCACTAAATAGAATAGTGATAAAATTTTATAGTAAACAAAAAAGAAATGGGTGACATGATCTTTTACATGCAGACCTATACGTTTTGAATATTGTATTTATACTTAAATAATAACAATGCCATAATTATTATAAATTAGAAACACATCTTTTCAAATGCAATTGTTACTGGTAGGTTTCACTTTGACTTCAAGGTTCCGTTTCAAAAGGCAGTTGCTCCTTTGATTAATGCCCTCCAGTGGCACAGCGATATGTTTGCGGACTTACAACGCTAGAAACCGGGTTTCGATACCCGTGGTGGGCAGAGCACAGATAGTTCTTGTATAGCTTTGTGTATAATTAAAAACAAACAAACAAAATTTTAATTAATAATAGATGCTGGTAAAACAGTCATGCTCTATCCTGATCCTTAATGTCACATGATACTTTTTATATATTGTACAATACATTATATCTTATTATAAATTATTATATATAATTTTTGCAGGTCCCTCCTAAAACCCCTGTTAATCTGGTTCTGGTGACAACATTTTGTCATAACGTTTATTTTTTGTAATCTGGTACGATCATATAACGGTTCAACGTTTATTAAACTAAATATAGTATAAATTTGATGATGAGAAATCCACTTTGAGAATAATCAGGTTTAGACACAACTTGAATAGGTAACGAAGAATGCTTTATTGCAAATTTAAAACAATAAATATGTAAAACTTTTCAACAAGGTTTTGTCACCATCATGTATCTGGGTAAATGGCTAAGTGAATCCACTGGCAGCTTTATTCTTGATAATCCCCTGGAAGTAGTCTCGACATGAGCA